CACCAAGCAGGCCTCCTTGGGTCAGGATGGCAGGGTCTCAGCCCAGGTACACAGCAATTCCTTCTGCGCTGGAGCCAGCCGGTGCCAGACACTGTTCGTAGATGTGAGTGTCAACTGCGATCATAGAATCCATCAGACATTTAATTTCCATTTGAACAGGTTTCTTTCTCCTCTTCCTACTCTGAAGTTAACTCACATTCCCCAGGTGTTTTGGATGAGTCAAGGCCCAAACCTGCAAACTCAGTCCAGACGTGTGAGAAGTGACTCTGTCTAAGCCTCCTGTAGAAATCTCAGGAAAAGAGCCTGTTTTCCCTTGGGCTTGTGGGCAATGAATTATCACCCACTGAGGATTTTGTATGTAAGTGTAAAGGATGGCCAGGTTTAGAGATACCAAGCTATTTATTTCTAGAGGAGAGGTGACCTGATAACCTTCTCTTCGGATATCATAATCACCAGGCAGGAAAGGGTTAATGGTGTTGGTATGACAGTGTCCTGAAGACAGTAGAGAAATCCCAAGCTGCATGAGCTCTTGGTCTGTGGCCCTGGCCAGACTCCCGCCACATCCTGATTCTGCAGGAAGGGGTGCTTGCACAGAAGGAGAAGGGGCTGATGCTTTGGATGGGGCCAGGTGAAAAGCATGCCGTTATTGCAAGGCCTGCATTTTCCAGTCACGACATTGGCACTGAGGAATCAAGAAACACACAAAAGTGTTTTTCCAACCTACATTCTGCCTGAGCTGTTGGGATCTACTAATCCATTGGAAGAGAAGGCTTGAATCCACTATTTACTGGCCTCTTGGGCCTTAGTCCTGCCTTATCTGCCATAGCCAAGGACCCCCTGTCCCAGATGGCTGCTGTTATTGTTCAAAAGAACATCTCTAGAGCCCCAAGCCCAGAAATAGCCCATGGCAGGCCCCTGGTAAATGGTGTTGGTTTTCCCATTGTCCTCTCCCACACACTGCAACGTGCTGGTGCCCTTGCTGGGCCTTTCCATACCATAGGCTTTCCTTTTGCCATCTTCTTGCACAATTGTGCCCGTGCCTGGTACCAACTTTGCCCAGAATCACTACTTATATCTAGCTGCAAACACTTTTTAATGCAGAAGTTAGGCTTCTTACTGAGTTGAAATTTATCTCTTTTATTTCTGATGCTACAATGTTATCATTTGCATTGGTACCCAGACTATAGGTTGTTTCAGTCATCCCAGTGGTGTAAACCTGAAATCCAGTTTGACCCTGCCCTCAGAAAATGACTTGCCAGGACATTTGTCAGAAAGTTCCAGACCTGAATAGCAGCTTACTGGGAAGCACTGCTGGGCTTTTTCTACATCCAAGGGGCAGAGTTCCTGAGTAATTGCAGTGGGCAGGAGCTGAGTCACGCTTGCTTTCTTGCTGTGGTTTCATCTTTTGCTGAAGGTCCCTGGTACCTGCCTCTTCCTGGAAGCTTTCCCTCCAGTGAGTGGTAACAGGCCCATCAGGCAATGCTTTGATGATGTTCTATTCTCTGGACTTTGTGAGTTCCTGTAGGGAAGGGAAGGCCAATTGGAAGTGCTCATCTGGCTGGATGGCACTGCTCTCTTTGTGGCTGCTCCTGTGGATTTCCACGGGCAGGAGAGCATTAGTTGAGTAGGGCTCATATTGTCAGAAATGAAGTCCATTTGCTGATTTTGTGCCATTCTCCTGAATCATTTTTGCCCTGGTAGTAGTCTTATGTTGAAGTCACTGTCTCATCTGATTTTAACAGTTGTTTTTACCAGATATCTTTTCACCAGGTAACTTTTGGTATAATACTGGTTTATGTAAAGAAATGTTGCTCATAGCCA